CAGTAGTTAGTTAAAAATCTAGTAACATTGTTCTGAAAAGAATGTAACACTAATGAATCATATCCTAGCATTTGAGGATACTCGTACAGTCTTCATTTCCAAGACAATCTCAGAACCAAAGGAACAATTTGCGTTCCACCATCTTCCTGATAATATCACATCTGCTTACATAATGTGATATAGAAATGTCATTAACCTGAAAAAGAGGTGTATCATAGTCAAATAAAAAAGTATAACATACCAAGCTAAACATAATGTGAAGACTACAGGCGGGAAACTGATGATGTCACATTTTTCGTCTCGCTAAAAATCGTAGAAATTTTTGGTTTTGAGATTTAAATGTTTAAATTTCCTCAGATTCTTCACTCCTAATGTACATGGAACCCGATTTCAATTTATGCAAAAAGTTATGTTTAGACACATTTCATCTTTTTGAATGTCTGCACTGTGTTGCACAGTGGGTATTTTTCAAAGAAAAGACTGTAGTTTAGACATTAGCTTTACCAGTTTTCCCCTGTAGCCTTCTTGCGTAAACATCAATTAATTGTAATTTAGTTGACATTATGAAATTGACATGCCAGCTAGTGACGAATCATGGTCTCCAATACTCTCCGATTACAACGGGCTCATCTAGGATACGGATTTTGAAAAATATATGACCTGTTTATGTATCTAAGAACAAAAACATTGATTACTTCCTTGAATAACACAACTTGTGAGATTACTTTGTCTAAATTGGAATAAAGACGTTTTGAGAATTGAAAACACTTACGTTTTGAAAGTTGATTTAGAGCATTGTGTTGGTTACACTACCATTGATTGCATCCGTACTAAATTGAATTAATTGTACAAACGTTTGCCATAATAATATGATAATTGTGTAAACATTAAACCTTTATTAAGGAGTTTAGTCACATCTAATTCAAATCGTTGTACGCCGCCTTCTCAACATCTCCACTGTCGGTTTAGGAATTGTAATAGTAGATCTTTTTCGCCCCCAGTGACACGATTTGGATCATCTTGGAGGCGTCAGCCTTGATCCTGCCTGTCAGAGTCCACCTGGACTGAGAGGGCTGCAACATCCTTAACATTTGCACCACAGACGCTAGTTCTATTTTGGGAACATACGTAGTACCAAGAATTCTTAAACAAGAATGAATTTAAAACAACACTTCACAGACAAAATTATTGTGCGTATTAAAAGTGGGGCATACAGACATATTACAAAAGCTCAACAAATTCACAGATATTCTACTTACATATTATTATGAGTTGATGCATATCGATGAAACAATACATGTACCACAGATAAACGCAACTTAAAACATACGAATCTGACCTACAAATCAAGCAACAGCACACAGGTAGATAAACAATGTGACGTCTATGTTGAATTAATGCAATTGAAGAGCTACATTTTCTTTGGAGTAAAAAGCAACAACGACAAAGTAAAAAAATCAAATCTCTACCTCAAAAATCGAAGTTGAAAAGCACGTTCTATCCGCTTATACTTTCTGATATGGATGGCAATTAAAATAGACGGGCAGTTACTTTGATGTACAGAAGGCATAACAAATGTTAATGTGTTATGAATACACGGAAACTGCCATACTCAGTGATACCCTTACATAAATCAGAAAAAAATGGCCAGAATGTTGCTTTAGAATACCGATAACTTTCCTTAATTTTTACAACTCTGTAATAGGGACTTTCTGCGACTATTGTCTGTGGTGAAACTTCTGAGCATGTTCTCTCTTTAGTAGATTCAGAGAGATCTTGTAAACGTACCCCTACATTTTCTGAGTCCAAATTGCTAGTCAAATATTTAACATCTCTTTTTTCTTATTCTTCTTCCTCAACTATTTGATGGAGATGCCAGATACTAGACAAACACAGTATTGTACTATGAAAGTCCTTTTCATTTGCAGGAAATGTGTCCATTAGTATAATTTCACCCGGTCACGTTTAATTCCTAGGTATACATATTATCATGAAGGCAGGCAGTACAGTTGCAATAGATGTTCAGGGTGGTTTTATTTTATTTTCACAATGCAGGCTTACTTAACTTGAATGCCTGCATTTCTCACAAACTTCAGTCTCTTGTTAGTGTTTTATATGTTTGGAAGTACATGGTTTATCGCAAATTATATTTTTGTCATTTCAAGAAAAGTATTGCAAACGGTATTTTGGTTTTATGACACGCATTTAATCGACGAGTCTGACTCTGTGGGGGCATTAACGGGAATTTTAAAAGGGTTAATCATTTTACTACTAAAAACTGCCCAGGTCTGCTTCAGGTCTCACATCTGAGGAAGAAAAATCATCTAAGCCGACAGCATAATTTTATATTTGTTTTTGTTGGTGAAATTCTTATTTATTCACACTGACCAGGCTCGACGGATGGGAATACGTGCAGTACGAGACAATGCAATTTTTGTAGACATTGTAAGATTTATTATATATAAATATATATTTAAATATATACGTATATATTTATGTACAGGGTGCAGTGCATAAGCTTAACTCGAAGGCAGAAAGGTGAGAGACGAAGGACGAGGGATTGCCCCGTCACGAAAGTGTGATCCATTGATGCTTTTTACATTTGACATTAAGACCAGAGACATTCACAAACCAAAGACATCAGTTGAAAGCAGTGGGGTAATCTAAATCACTCAAACATGGGTGTGATAAATTGAATAAAAAAGACAAGAAAATAAAGATGCTGAAGAATCCTGTCATATTCACCCTTCTGTACAACTAAACACGCTCTAGATCACATAGGCTTCCAACTTCCACAAAGAAGCAGCCTCTTTTCAATCTCCTGCATAATAACCCAGCAAAGTTCCTTTGTCACAGAAGGACTTATTGAACATAACAATATCATCACAATAAATGTAAGTTTCTCAATCCTAACTGTTTCTGAATACGATTGCTGGTGGCAAGGCACGCCTAAGACACCTTTTCAAATATACGGCATCTAAATTTAAAGAGATTTAAGAAGGCATGTTCTGAAGGCTTCAAGCCATGAATTAAGTAGAGATATTTTTCGACATCTGAACTGCGCAAATCATTTTATTACTAAAACAGCTTGGTTTAACTCCAGTTGAATAACCCTAAGTACACTGAAACCTTTATTTTCACCATCCGCTGTTTTTCCAAAATTTAACAATAGTATTTTTCGTGCAGTGAGATTACAAAGGCAGACCGGATGGAACTTAGATTTTACCTTGAGACCCCTGAATCTTAAAACAAAAGTGATAGAATTTACTGTCACAGCTTTTCCTGTTCAAACTCATTACTTTATTCTTTTCAAAAAGCTAACAACTCAGAAACCTAATAGACTTCTAAATCTCACTCCTGGTATCATGGAAGTTGTCAGAGCTGCTTGTAAACTAGTAGGGAGGTGATCATACGGGTGCATCAATACAAAGGCTGCATATTAATGAAGATTAAGAAGTGAATATCTTGCATGTGACGTGCGTGTGCACTAAATGCAAAGAATTGTATTCGATCCATAGACCTGTATTATGATATTACGCACTCTGACGTATTTCAGTTTCATCACTGAGCGCACCGTTCGAGCCAAATAAAAGGGGGTGGGGAGGAGTGGGGTAGAGGCCAAGGAAGGGGAAGTGCCGTGCGCACTTGACTTTAGCAAGACTGTTTTTTGTCTTTCAATTTGGGCGCCATGCTTCTCAGCGAAGTTTTCATAGAGAGCCAAAATCTGGCGGCAACGACAGTGCACGATCTAGGAGTACAAGTCTGTGGTTCGATCTGTGTGTCTAGGTGTGTTCCCAAACAGTGAGAGAATTGGACAAATGTGTAAATCACTTGCAAATCTTAAGTAACTAAATTAAGTAGACCACGAGTTATCCATCGACAACAACCCAAAAGTGCTTGTACAAGTCACATTATAAAAAAGAATGAAATCAGTCCAAACAATGGGAAATCAGAGCATATTTTAACAATCTGTACACATCGTAGAACACAAGGCTGAAGTGACTTTCACCCTGGCTCCGGCTATATCTGCCTTGATATATTGTCATGTTCCCAAGAAAAACTAGCAAACAAAGGTAAACTTCCTTGCCTTCTCCCTCCCAGACCACCTCTACCCAAGATCTCGGCGGCTCTAGATTTTTGGCTAAAAGGTCAGACAAGAAAGAAAATCGATCAGATATCAGATCAATTTTAGACCACAAAGCTCAAACTCTGTCTTCGCACATCTCCTGGTCAATCTCCAAAATGTTTATAACCATCAGATTTTTGTTTACAACGTCATTGAAAATAAATTAAGTATGTTGGATAATCAGTATCGGTTGAAACTTAAAAAACAATGACATCTTTTTAAAGAGAGTATTCAGGAAGTAAAAATGGACGTCCCTATGGAGACCTGCTCAGGAGAACCATTTATGAAACAGCTACATTACGGTGATTAAAAGAACATGTCATAAATATACACAGCCATCTCTTCCCCAAATTTTCTTCCTCTCATCCATTCACCATTGAACCCAGTCCGGACCCTACTGCTACTATCACTACTTCAATTCAACTAGACACATACAAACAATAATAATAACATAATTAGATGAAACCATATTCAAAATAAATTCGTTAAACCTTCCATTATTGCACCAAACCAAAAAGAAGGTGACCATCTGGTACCTAAATAAACCAAGTCATCCAATAATTTATATCACATGAGTGTGAATAACACATTACTCCTGATGTTTTCAAAATCACAAAGGTTAGTCGCACCTACAATGTCCGCAGACAAAACAATCGAATTTGAATGGAGCAAGCCATTCATTGATCGCTATTTCGACGACCAAATTCATTATATTGTTATATAACAGATAGTATTTGTTAAATTACTAGACTCAGAAGGCCGTTAAAAAATTGGCATTGGAGGTAGTACTATAAATACATTCGTTTACGCCGTACAAATGACACAGGCTGAAATGTATCCAAATCAAATTATTCAAAAGTTCATTATTTTTTTAATTGATGTTTGCACTCCCATCCACAAAATTTAGATAATTAAATCTAGGAAACTGACTGCTTTAACGCTGACTGCCAGGGCCAACCCTGGACGGGCACTACACAACCTTCCAGCATTCAGAGGTGGATATTAAAATCTGCCCTGATGCGGAATGAATCGAGCTAACGTCTTGTGTGTGTGACGGCAAACCGCTTACCACAACAAAACTGTTACTTTTTTTCTTTTACGTTTTCACGACTACATTAATCAGTAAGGTCGCCCGAAGACACAACAAATGACTAGTGCATATAACTGCGTGATTATGCCATTAATTTTATGGATATTTACGTGTAAATAAGATAGAGGATCTAACAAGCGATAACTCCACTGTACGCTTGTGCAAGCGGGAAAGTCTACGTGAAAAGAGAATTCGAATTGACAAGGTCCACATGAACTGGATTTAAAGCAGGCAGTTGTTTAAATGTTCTTTTTCGCAATTTTATTTATAACTGCTGCTTAATTTATTGATCTTTGACAGTTATTTTTACCAGAAGTGTACAATCAGTAGAAAGTCCCATTTTAGGTTGTGTTACAAGACTCACAGCGCACAGAATGGCACAACTGAAAAAATGAATAAGATCCATGCTCTCAATCAGAAAGGACGCATAATACATGTCTGCACAATAATAATGGGAAGGGGTTTAAAATCGGTGCTTATTCACAGTCAGTATCTTCAGATATTTACATATGCAAAGGGAAAAACGATGGGAGAGTGCTTTTTGAAGGGATGGGTATTTACTGTGGGAATGAATGGATATACAAAAGATAAAGAATACGTGCACTGTTCAGAATGAAAAATCACGGGGTTGGGGGATGGGGTGAGGGAAGTCACAATAGGCGCCAGGAAAGAGCATTACATTTAGATTGTGTGGATATGCATCAATGAAACGGCTTTATATTCAAAGTGAAGACGGCTTGTGTTGTCATGGACATAATAAATATATTCATCACAAATGGTGTGTGGAAAACAATGATTCAGTAGATGCTTCACGAGCAGCACACGATACAGACTTCCCAATGTCCGAGACAAGAGGTCATCGACAGTGGACGCGGAATCACACCAGACACTCATAGATTCTTATCCCCAGAGTTATGTGGCTATAGATGATGTACACATTGTTAACTTCACTTCTAGGGTTTTGAAATCCACAGACTGACAACAAACCACTGTGGAACCCTGTTTGCGTGCGTACAGTATGAATCTGTTGGCTTGTGGAAATCATTTCGACGTTGGGATATAAATAAATTCTTCAAGAGGTTCGGTGTTTGAGTTCGTGGTTGCCTTTCTGGTCAAGCATAATCAAGCAACGTTCATAAAGACATACTACAAATCAAACGTCTAAATCAGGCTGTAGGGTTCTAGCAGTGGTATATTAGGTTTCGATTTTCACTCTGCAATAGGGGCTTCACAAGACCAGAACACTCCAAGACTACAACGCCTGCTAGTTAGGATCCGTTGTCCTTAAGTAAGCTATGTAAGAATTGGCAAAGCAGTGTGTCGTGGGATAATTACAAATCAGGAAAAATGATTTAGAGCTTAGTTTGGGGTAAAAAAATCTTGCTATTGTCGACACATCGTAACACTATCAAATAGGCATAGCATTTTATTTCGCATTTGCATTGGTCTTTTTTAGCTGCAAATATAAGATCAAAACCGGTGAACAAGCAAATAGTTGCGTACAAGAAGCGCCATCCCACATGCGGCAGGACACTCAAACCAAGGGAACCTCGCATAAAATAAAATGGCCTCCCCCGGAGTCACAACGCAAGATCATTGTCCAGAACACAAGGCGTTCAGGGGGAGAATGTACCAGTCACAGAGGGCCTTCCGCCCAACGTGGTTAGGAATAAAGGAGCCTTTTGTACACCCAGTGGTTGCAGGGAACTTCGTTAGAAAGCAAAGTTCCTAGGTCCATGCTGTGACATATGAAACGCGTGTGGAATATCCGCAACTACGTTAGGTATTTTCACAAATCATCTCCTTTATATTCCGGTTGGCCCTCCGACCTCTCAAATTGTTCGTTCTCCGCCCCGGCGTCCCCCGGGCTGCTCGCTTCCGTAACGTGACTACCAGAGCTGCTCTGAACATCCCAGGGTTCAACTTGTTTGTCCGGATAAACTGTGACCGTGGCGCCGCCATCCGCAGGCTCCGAGCGACACCTGGAAGGAGAACTGATGGAACTACTGCGGTGTCTGCCCTGGGAGTCTGTGGAGATGGAGATGGACTCGCAGCTCGTCTCTGTGTTGGGGAATGTGCTCACAGTGACAACAGGGGGGCTGCTGGCCGCTGGTTCTACCTGGACTGGGGGACTGTCTGCTGGTGACGTCACGGGCTCTTGTATATGGGGCGCTGCGGGGCGAGATGGTTGTGGATTAAGAGCAGACGACGATGGAGACGAAGAAGAAGGTGACGATAATTGTGTTTGCGTGCGCGTTTCCCCTGGCAACATTAGTGATGGCGGCTGGTCCGATGAGGGGCTGACGGTGGAGGAAGGCTGGCGGTGAAGTCTAGGCTTTGTGCTGAGCGAGGTCGGGGAGAGATGGGTGTTGGAAGCCGTCTGTGGGTTGTGCATAGGTTGTGAGCTGTGTACAGGCTGGGGGGTTAGTGTAGACTGGCTGCTGTTAGATGCTTGAGGGCTAGGTGTGGGTTGTGGGAGGTGGGTCTGTGAGTCCCTATACTCCTGCTCTTCAAACACCCGAGGAGAAGCTGAACGAGTGAACATGCCTGGCAAGGTTTGTTGTGAGTTACGAGGGGACGGAAGAGGGGAAGTTGCCCTGCACCCTGCGTGCAACTCCAGAAAAGGCTCGTTGATGGAATAGGATTGTGGTAAGCCAGGTGGCGCCAGCAGGGCGCTGTCCATGGACAGGGTGTGAGGAATGCGGCGACGCATCGGAGATGGCATCATGGAGGAGTCTGGGTAGTCCACAGCAGACGATCGAGACATGGTCTGTTGACGCCGGAGAGGTGCAGGGGAGCCTACCGGGCGGCGAGGGATGACTGGGACAGACGACTCCGAGGTGGGCAGGGAAAGAAGCACGTGCTTTGGAGGAGTAGGGGAAGGAGAGCGCATGTACAGCGCGTGAGGCGAGGGTACTGTTAACGTGTGTCCATGTGTGAACGTGAGAGGGCTCACGGCACTTTCCCTCCGGCTGTCTGGTGTTGTGCGCATGCGGAATGCACTGTCTTCCAGCGCAAGCGGCGACGGAGGTAAAGGAAGCGGAGACACGCAGTTCGGGTGGTCGCGGTACCCGAATGGGCTGAGGGAGCGCTCCGAACGTGGCGAGAGACCGCTCATTGGAGGGCTGAACGCTTTTGGTGTCAATTTGGAAGGACTGAAGGAGTTGCTTCGCCGAACCACGGCGGCCTCACGGGCCTTACAGCACGGTGGAAGTTGCACTTCTTCGCCCAGTTCAAAACTGCTGTTGTCTATGCCGGGGCTGTTGCTTGAGCTCTTCATTGCAGGCGGCATTGGGCTCTTACATTTCGGGTAGGACTTGATGAGTCGGGGCGTGCTGTCAGTGCGGGTGGTTGACTGACTGCTGCTGGCGACAGACTCCAGGCCGGGGCGGGCAGAGGTCATGTGACCGCCGCTATCTCTGTCCTCGGAGGCGTAGGGAGACAGTGTCGGGCGGATATCATCTTCATCGTCCTCAGTGCCTCCCGTTATCATTTTTACCTGAGGAGGAGGTAAGAGAGATTGGATTATCAATCAACTAAATGCAGAGTCTGTTTCGTTGTTCACGACAACTATCACGAAGAAATTATATTATTTTGAAGCCTGCAGTAGCTACTGCATTGATGTACCACTTCACGCTGAAATGATAGTGTCTCAACGCGCGCGCGCACGCACACACACACACACACACACACACACACACACACACACACACACACACACAAACACACACACATGTACAAACATGCACATACACACATACATACATACTCACAAACTCATACACACTCGTACAAACACGTACACACAAACAGATATAAACACGCAAACACATACACACACATTTACGCACACACGTATATGTACTCACTCAAACACGCACACAAACACACACACAAACACACACACAAACACACACAACAAAAACACCTTCACTCATATAAACTCGTACATATACACACTTTCATATTCATCCATACACATATTATTCTTCATGAAAAAAAAAACAATCAAGAATCGGTACTAAAGTGGAAACATTAACACCTTACTTGCTGCAAGAACAGTAACAATCCAAATAGCATTTATGTATACATCCCAACAAGAATTCCTATTATAAAAAACCTTGCCTTTGTCTTGAACGCAATACTGTAAATTGACATTACAAGACTGCATGAGGTCGTATGCTTGATAAAAAAAGGTCAACAAGACAGTACAGACAGAAATATGAACGAAACCGTCTGTTAAATATAACAATGGTTGGGTTTTTTTTTCAATCATAATGTACTTCTTAAAAGTTTAATCAAGGACTTGGCAAAGAAAACAAAGAAGAAAGGACAAATAGATGGGTTGGGGGTACATAAAAAGATGGGACAGTTGTAGCAGGACATGGTCTGGCAATCATATTATTTGCACGGATATAAAATCCTTTTTTTTTAACAGTCTCTCTTATTTGTCACGTGACGCATGTGCATCTTGGGGGTTTTAAAAAATATACAAGCAAAACGTGAATGACCTTTTAAAGAAGCACAGACAAATATTTTCAGCTTTGTCTTAAAAAGTATATAAATACAACTGAGCTAGTACTGGGAGGGAAATACCGTCAATTTAAGAAAACTCCTTTTACGGTAGAGACGAATTTTGATGTGTTGAGAAACATATAAACTTAAAAAAAAATATGCACTTTAAGTGGTCAAACATTATAATAACAATTCAATTTAAAGATGGGCCTAGAAGGAAAAGGGGACAGAAATAGAAAATCATACATGCTAGGTTGCTAGGCAAGGGTCTACCGATGCAAATCTCTAACTAAGCAGCGAAACAATAATAAAAAAAATTAAGAAGTGAATGGACTGTTCAGAAACTCTGAATAGCAGAAAAACAACAACTATTAAAATAAACGACAAAAATCCCGCATCACTTTAAAATAAAATCTTCCAATTATTGGGGAATACGGGACAAATCACTTTGGGTACGTAATATTATGAAAGCGAGTGTGAGAGTATGTGTGTTTTTGTGTGTGAACATGTGTGTGCGTGTATGTCTGTGTGTGTGTGTGTGTGTGTGTGTGTGTGTGTGTGTGTGTGTGTGTGTGTGTGTGTGTGTGTGTGAATGCATGTAGTTGATGAGTAGGATCTTACTATCATATTATCCTTAGTGAATGTCTACTTATGTTTGTAATTTATGAACATTTGACTGAATTTTAAAACTTAACCTCATAAATAAGATCAATTCACGACTAAAGTTTATATTTACACAGGCTGCTTTATCTCAAGCTGTCTTATCTCAACATGCATATTACACTGAGCATAATGCAGTAACATCATTGGAACAAAATGATCTTTTCAACGTAAACAGAGGCACACAAAAGATAGATGTATCTAAATAGTGACAAAAAAGCCTAGTTTTTGAAATGCGTTAGCTCAAATGACGGATAGTTAGCAATGGATGTTACCTACCTAGTGATTCTTTGAATAAATCCTACTTTACCCAATGTTTCTATCTTTTAATATTACAATGACATTATCTGCTGTTTTAAAGGAGAAACTGTTTTCAAAATGCACATTAAGTTGAGTTTACTTTATGTGGGCTTCACTATACAACGTATGAAACATAGATTCAGTTTGTGTTATGCGCCTTCAACTTTTTCACTGTCCTTACCGTTATTTTATTGGACAAAGGGTTATCATAGCTCATTCTGGCCGAGGACCATAACTCAACATATTGATATCAATTTTAGTAACTCTAAGTATAGCGCAACGAAAAAGAAATTCAGAGACATAATGCATTAGAAACACGTGCAGCAGCAAAAATAAAATTAAAAGAGAGGGCTGCAGAAAGCAGAACTGCCTTACCTCCTCATCGCATGCCGCTTCCTCACTTCCCCAGTCACTGAACGGCGAGTCGTCCATGTCTGAGCCTGTCTCCGTGCTACCCGTTCCTTGTGTCTTACGTAGTTTATCCTTGGCCAAATTTGTGTCCGAATTGTTTTGATTGGCTGCTTTGTTTAGGTTACTCTGCTTGTACTTGTCACGGAAGCGGCTATATTTAGCGCCACTACTGCGGCTCCGCAGTAACCTGTGCTTGATTCTGTCTCTAGCGGGAAGACGATCACCGGCTGCTGGGACGTCTTTCAGGTCGAGAGAGCTGTTCTTGTGCTCCATTGAGGCGCTCTTCAAGTCCTTGAGTTGCAGCGAAGGCTGTGATCTGGACATGTTGGTTTCCCCTCCTATAAGCTTGGGCCGCGGCGGCTCCTTCATTTTGTCCCAGCTGTCGGTGGGGCCAGGGTTGAGGTTGAGGTTGTTGAGCTGTGGATCCGAACCCACATCCATACTGTATTGCTTGACCAACGGTCGGCGCTGTTGGGAGCCTCCTGACTGCAGACTCAGAAGATAAGGGCTGGGTGCTCTCCGGATGGGCGGGGAGGAGATTCGGACACTTCTCTCCGAGTTGGGTGAAGAGCTGGCTGTCATGCTGGGAGTGATGGCGAGACGGTTGCTGTCCATGGACGACCAGGAGGGCACGCCCTCGATCGTGAGAGACGCGTTTACTGGGGATATACCTAGAGAGCGGGGGCCGGTGGGGGTGGGGGTTGAAAGGAGGAAACAATCTCTCAGTGGCAAGAAAGCGCCGTCAGTCACACACTACTGGCACTACGCTAGCTTTACTCACGCCTACAGCATGGATTCTTTGTCTACTTTACAGGAAAGCGTTGCTGCTTATGAAAACAAACATAACAGAAATCTGCCAATCTGCCACCCAAAGTATGAAAACCAGGTAACCCACATTTCAAATAATAAAGACCGCCACAAAAATCCTTTCAGTTAAGGGATGAAAATAAAAAAGAATAATAATGCTATTCACCAACAAAGGATTCAAAAAGAAAATGAATACTTGCCTACTTCATCACCATCATTATAATCATCACCAAAATAGTAGTTTAAGGCTATAGAAAACCGGTAATGTGGGTTATCTGGCTAAAGCATGAATGAACGTACTACACAACTATATGTCTATGTAACTCACTATGCAATCAGGGAAACGAACATGCTAAGACACGGGTAAAAGAGAGAGATAGAGAGAGGGAGGGAGGGAGGGAGGGATACATACCACTAGCAGCCTCCTCAGACCTGGACTGTTCCTCGCTAGGGGGACGGACACTGAAGCTGAAACTGGGCAAGGTGGACACCTGCAAGCCGCTCGGGTTGTCTCCTTCAATGCCGTTCTCCTTGTTCTAAGACAAGAAAATAGAAGAAAGACGATTTAAAAA